CACCAGGGAGGGCCGGTACCCCAGTTCTTTTATGAATAAATAAAATAAATCTTTTAAAAAATAAATAAAAATTGTAGAGTATTAGAAGTATATCAGGACAGATGGAGGGTATAACATATGCAAGATATAAATGTTGAGACAGAGCAAGTTCAAGTGATTTTGCTGGGCAGGAGCATATTAAGTATACAGTTGTACATGGGGCATGATCAAAACAAGGATATTAAAAATGGAAATAATAGCTAAAAATTCAGTGTCAGTTCTATTATCCATGAAACCATTGACTCTTCAAATGAGTCATACAAGCCACTTGTACCTCTTCCATCCTTTGTTATGTCTACTGAGTTCTAGTTCCTTTGCCTCTGTCCAGCATGTCCACATATGGAAAGTTCAGCCAAAACTTCCTGTCTGCTGATCTGCCTACTGGACAGCTGTTGTCTAAAGTACAACAGAAACATGGACACTAGATTCTAGTAAATGCACCCACTTTGTGTAAATGACTGTCAGAGTGCAGAATATTGAGAAGAGACTGTTCAGATGATGAGTACAGATAAGAGGCCACTGGTGGATTTCAGGACTATGGGGAGTTGTGATTTCGGTGTATTAAGAGAGAAAACCTCTAAGAATAAAAAAAAAAAAAAGGCTGCAGATAATAAATTCGAAGTAGTAAGCCAGCATAATGGATTGTAGCTAGTCAAACTTTCAAGGCAGTTCAGAACTAAAACTGACACTGGCGTGCAGTGCATGGTGAGTCCCAAACAACTCAACTGTGTGAGTTCATCATCAGGCCTTAGAAAAGCTATTCCTCCTGGACCTCCAAGTTGTTGAGATGAGCCTGAAAAATTTGTGTGTTTAATGGGATTGATGATTTCTTTTTGAGGCCATGGAGTTAATTGGGTGGGGGCGGGGTGAAGAGGAAAGTACCCTTGGCAGGACTCTAAGATCCGAAAAAGCTAGTGCCCGCTGGGGAATCAATGATAGGAGAACAGAGCAAAGCTCTGGGGGTTAGCTATGATCAGGGCAGAGGTGTCCCAGGTTCTATCAGTATGACACAGGGGTCTGCCTCCTAAGGAGGACACCTTAAGGTTCGGCTCCCCTTCACCTCCCGAGCGTGCAGACCTGAGCGTGCAGGCGCTTCCTCGCACCGACCTCCGCGGGTACAGGGGCGCAGGGTGGAGCCCCGGCTGTAGGCGCGGCGGCTGCGGGAGCTGGTTTCGCTCTACCCTTGCAGGTGCGTGGAGAGAGGGCAGCACATGGAGGAAGGAGACGTCCGCCATGCCCGGCCCGCAGCTTCCCACCGCAGCTCCCAGCCCGCCGCCCCCGCGGAAAGGCCGGCTACAGCCCCAGTGAGGAGGTAGAAGAGGCGGCGGCGGAGGAGGCGCCGCCCCTTTGGCGAGCTTCCCGACCTGGCTGCCTCTGCGGGACCCATGGCGGACTCCTCACCGGCGCAATCCCAGCGTGCGGGCGGCCCCCGAGCACCCCGGCACTCTGCGCCCTCGCCGCCGCCACGCTCGCGCTCAGGCTCCGAATCCGAAGAGGCCGAGCTGTCGCTGAGCCTGGCCCGCACCAAAACCCGCTCGTACGGCAGCACGGCCAGCGTGCGGGCGCCACTGGGCGCCAGCGTCATCGAACGCCATGTGGAGCACCGGGTCCTCGCCGGCGACACGCTACAGGGCATCGCGCTCAAGTACGGAGTCACGGTGAGCAGGGCGCGCCGCCACGGCCGGGGCTGGCTGACCGGGGTGCTCGGATCCGGGTACGGGATTGATGGGAGCCAGAAAACCGAGGAGGCAGCCATTTGTCCCTCGGCGTCTGGGCCCCCAGCGCTCACCGAGCGCGCGCTGCTGGCGACAGCAACGCGCGCCCAAGCTGGTCCAGGAGCCCGAGGGGCGGGCCTCGCCAAGTCGGTGCTTCAGTTCCCGGGGCTTTGCCGGACTCAGATCTGTCACGTGAGGCAGACCCCAGAGGCCCAGAAGTCATGGCCACATAATTTTCAGTCCCCACCACACTGTTTTTAAATTGAGGATTTGGGCAGGAAATTTTGTTTTCTGTATAAATAAGCACTGTGATGAGTCAGGAATGGTACAGTTGTCCCCACTGGATGGTTCTGGTTCTATCGATTATGCTTCTTTATTTAGAAGTGAAATTATACCCCTGGGCTCACTGGCAACGCTGAATGTGACACCTGTCGCTAAGCAGCAGCCAGGAACTGTGGTCTAGGTGAGCTGGAGGGCTGTGTTTATTATAAATTTATAAGTGTGTGTCTTGGGCATATTGCATTACACCTCTGGGATGGACATGGAAACCTGAGGGAACATATTGTTGCATTGAAATTACTTATAATTAACGCTAGCCATATGATGGCCATTTTGCATTTGAGTTCTGTATCCGTTTTCAACATTCTTTCCTGAAGCTCCTTAGATAGCAATGGGAAGAAAGGTGATCTTAAAGTGAAACGCTCACTCATCCCCCAACCAATGACAAGAGTAGTGTATTTTGCACATTTGAGCTGCTGATCCTTCTTTCACTTAAACATTTTGAGAACAAAAATCTTACAGTGCAGGTGTGTATTGACATAATCATGCCATGGATAGTGCCATTTTGCCCCCTTAGGAGTTTCTAGAGGTGAACCAACACAGAAAGCATAGAACTGCAATTGTTATGTGCATTCATGTTTCTGACTTGGGTCAGAACTAGAGGAAAACAAATGGGAAATACCAGTAGCTGCTTCTACTAAATGCTGTGTATCAGTCATTTGTCTTCCTCCATCTTTGTTCTTAATCAATTTGATTTTTCTAGTCAGTCTTGGACATAGTATAGTTAATCTCCTTTTTTACAGATGGGAGGATGGATGAGTGGTTAGGATATTTTCCATGTATGCTTAGTCATTTAAACCAACTTGAATTAATATAATAATATAATTAATATAATAATAATTAATAACATCTCTAGATGTTACTTCTGATTTCTACCCTAGTCCTAGTCTTAGCAAGAGCTGTCTTAGCATCTTGGTTACTGAAGGGAGGTGTTTTTTTTTTTTTTTCTGTCTGGTTTCTATGTATCTTAACAGTTAGGCCAGAAAGACTGAATCAGAGAATCCATGATATTCAGAAAGGTGTCATTTCCCTGGGCCCTACTCCCAACAGTCACTCTGCTACTCCACTGTGCTCTCTAGTTTCCCTTGAGGTGCTTATGACCTCCAAATCCCTGCTCATTCAGTACCCTACCTTTCACCAAATGATTTCTAATCCTCATTTCTAATCCTCTTTAATATGGGTCCTCACAACCTTACCACCCCTTTCATTAAAGTATAAATAAAAATCTTATAGTTTTTATAAAGACTTCATTTTCTAAGTTGTTGAGTTCAAGTATAATAAATTAGGAACTATAACTTCTAGTCACAAATCTATTACAACAGGATTTCTCAACTTCGGCATTACTGATATTATAAGCCAGATAATTGTTGTGGGAGTTGTCTAGTCATTGCAGGATGCTTACCAACATCTCTTGCCTCTGCCCATGAGATGCCAATAGCGCCCCTTGGAGACATTGCCAGTTTCCCTGAGAAGTGACTCTTTGTTGAGAACCACTGGTTTATTACATCTATATCATTTACTTTGGGGGCTAAACTAGAGTTGATGAATTTTTGTTGTTGTTGTTTCATATTCTCCCACTGGTTATATAGAATCAGTGAAAGTGATAATACCATTACAATGAAATAATATTCTTACATTACTTAGTATCTGCAGATTTAATTGGGTTTACTCCTTTTACATTAATATTTTAGAGGAAGCTAAAAAGGCAGAAAATTATTTTTCTCATTTGAATCATTACTGAAAACAGTAGGTGATGAAATGTTGGGAGATTTGGAGAGCCAAGGCAGTGCATGTGAAAATTCAGTCAGTCCAGACAAATGTAATTATTGTCTTTAACATTCCATATCTGGGAAGAGCAGACCACAGTTGTGCAATCTTCAGTAACAGGAACTCTCAAAAAAGCCTGTCTTCCATGTCAACTCCCCAGTCACCCAGTGGGGAGACCTTGCAGGATTTCAGCCCCTGAATGGGGGAGACTGGTAAACGACAGTAATGTTTTAGGTACCATGAGGTTCCAGAACAGAAGGAAGATGAGTCCTGTGTGCTCATCCTTGTACCAGAGGAATAACTTGGAAACTGGTTATTTGAAGTAATAGTCAAAGGTTAGCAGCAGGGTACACCCAAACTGTGGAGAAAATGTGTTCCTCAAGCTTACCTGGATGGGAGAATGCCCCAGGTCAGACTAAAATCAAAAGAGCCTAGCTGACCGTGAACCTGCTGATCAGATTGGCCAGAAAAGGAGCAGGCATGGAAGAACTCTGTTCTTGGTTTAATGCCTGCTGTTCCTGTCTTAAACTTTCAAAACTTGTGAACCAGGACCCTGCATTTACACTTTTTTACTGAGCACTGAAAATTGTATAGCTGATATGAGCTGTGTGACTTGCTTACCTCTCCCTTCCCGGCCTTCCTTTCTCATTTATTGGGTTTTTCTTTTTCTTTTTAAAATTTATTTATTTGTACATATAGAACTGGGGTACAGGCCAGAGGTGCAGGGGCAGTGAGAGGATTCACCAGAGACAGAGTGGGGAGCAGAACAGGCAGATCGACTAAGTACACTGCTGAGGGGAGCAGTGGGCGGGTCAGGAGGTCTGTCGTGCCATGTGGGTCACCTCTGGGGTGGGCATTGAACTCATGCTGAAGTGGCTTTAGCTTCTTAGTGCTGTGCTTTAACCTGCTGCATGACCAGGGAGGGCCCTATTTGGGTTTTCTTAATTTTTTTTTTTTTGCTTCTCTTTCTGGTGATACATTACTGAATAAGATCCATGCCTGCCTGGTGCTTTTATGTTAGTCAGTGGAGATAGTAAGTAAACAAACAAAACATATTTTAGGTTAGGTATTGTTAAACAAAATGAGAATAAAATTAAGAAAGGAAAGGCAATCAGACAGGATGGTGGAGGTAGCTGCCCTTCCAACTGTCCCGGCTACGGAGACCTCCCTGAGGAGACTGTGAAGGAGACCTGTCTATAGACAGGAACAACGAGTGTGCAAAGGTGGGAGCTAGTGGACAAGTTCCAGTAATGTTGCAGTGTGGCTGGTGCTTTGATTGCACTGGGGTACATTTGGACCAGATCACTGAGGACCTCGAAGGCCACTTAAGAACTTCGAATTTTTGTCTAAATTGGAAAACACTGGAGGAGTTTGAGCAGTAGAGTGACACGATCTGAGCTGTGCATGGGTAGGATCACTCTGGTTGCTGCCTTGAGAACAGGTGGTAGGAGGGCGAATGCCATGGCAGGGGATCACATAGGATAGAGGCTTTCGCAGTGATGCAGGTGAGCGAGGATGTAGCTTAGCCCAAAGCAGCAGCGGTGGAAATGAGGAGAGGAATGGTTGGATTCTGATGATTTGCTGGTACACTACACATTTTCTGCTTGTTTACTGTTTAGTTTTGTTACAGGACACCAAATCTGTTACAGGACAGGGAGACAGGGGCACCCCTGAAGCCCCAAACTGGACTGCTCTAAGTGGGTTCTGCCATCCACTGCATTAAGACAAAACATATAAAACTTTAATGAAAAGGGACTTTAATACAGTAAATATACAATATGGAACACAAAGAATACAACTTCTAAATCAAACATCTGGAGTTACCCATCTCCTCGTGGGCAAAAGTCAACCCAAAAGGGATTGGCCCAAAGCAAGGCCTGAAAGCACAAGACAAAAGCACCTTCTGGCCAGGACCCATGGAAAAGGGTCAGAAACGGCCAGACAAGTCTGGGAGGAAAAGAGCAAAATCAAAATCCTTATAGTCACCTCCCTACAGGTATCTCACCCACATCTGCCTTAACCAGTCCAGGGTCAGGAAACAAGCAAATGCTTGTTGCTCCATGTGGCTTCCTCGGGTCTCCTTTTTGTTCTCCATCCAGTTTCCTTCTCTTTCTTTTCTTCGGATTCCTTCTCTTCTCTCCTTTTTCTCTGCTCAGCTCTACCCTCATTCTGGGTGGGGCAGGGAACCTGGAACTTCCCCTTTTCCTAGGGACCACCCTGTTGCAGTTTGAGTACCTCTGCTCTAGTGACAGGCCCATGGATCTAGGAATTTAATCCATATAGTAAAATAATGTGGCGCTTCAGGGCCCTCCCTAGTGGTGCAATGGGTTATGATGCAGCACTGCAAGATAGCCTCAGCCACTTCAGTGCTAGTTGGATCCCTGGCCCAGAGGTGACACACATGGCATGGCAGACCTCTCTTGACCCGCTCGCTGCTCCCCTCAGCAGTGTACCTCATCGATCTGCCTGTTCTGCCCCCCTCTATGTCTCTGGTGAATCCCTCCTGCCGCCCTTGAAGGTCTGGCTTGTACCCCAGTTCTGTATGAATAAAAAGTAAATCTTTGAAAAAAAAAAAAAAAAAGAAAAAGAATGTGGAGGTTCAATAACCTGGCCAGGCCTAACAACCTGACAGAACCTAGTTCTTTTGGGAGTGACTTAGAAAACACCTTAATGACATTTACCACCATTAAAATCTTTAGTATTTGGGCCTTCCTGATAGCACAGGGATTAAAGTCTCAGCACTATCAAGCTAGCAGCAACCACTGCAACACAAGTTTGATCCTGGACCAGGGAGCCGACCTACATGGAGGAATAGACCTCTCCTGTCTCACCTGCTG